GGGGTCACTGCGGCCTTCGGCCTGGAGCGCTGCACTCTCCGGCTCTGTAGCCCAAGTGGTGCGTGGGGCAGATGAATCTGCGGTGTGTAAGTAGACCACAGCAGGAGGTCAGCTGGCCGACAGCAAAACACTGAGCTGGAATGAGGTTGACCCTTGGTGAGATGTTTGAGATTGGGTGCTTTGTATTAGGTTCTGAGCAAGCTTTTAGGATTTGGGGGTTTTTGCTAGTGCTGGACACTAGCAAGTGCTAGTTGTCTCTTTATCCTATCCAAACAAGTTCAACTGTGGGAAGCTATTATGCCAGCTACTAAGAGGTTATGCACTTGGGGCTGAACCTGAGATGGCCGCATCTGAGTACTTACCTACAGTACCTGAAAACACTGCAACAATGTGATCCCATGGCCCCTGTCACTATACATCTGTAGCACATTTAGCTTGTCAAAACCCCTAGCTAAGATGGGAAAGGAGCAGTAGGAGCAGTTTTAGGCAGAGACAGGATCAGGTGTGAGCAGCAGCACAGACTCGTAGCAGAGAGATGTAGTTATGGGTGGCAGTTGCAGCAAAAACCTGATAGGGCTGTTGTTTGCGTTGCCACTGACCTTGGGGAATTCTAGCAGCTGTAACTTAACATTTCCTGCTATAAAATGTGCAGTCTCCTTTGCGGTGGTTTTAGTGCCTTCAGTGGTCACATAAAAGTGACGCAAAAGAACAAATTTCTTACTAGTGTAGTTTGTTACAATAGAAAAAATGGTGATTATTGGATTTCCTTATAATATGGAGCTTACTGCACGTTTTGGGCAGCAAGTTCAAAGGAAGAGCCTTCTGATTACTTGCAGGTGATCTTCCCAAGGAGAAAAATATGGCTCTGTATGCTTGTGTAACTACTGCATTCTTTCAGATCACTTCATATATCTGTTTTTTCAGTGAGGGATCATTTCACAATCATTAGCTTGTTTCATGAAGGCTTCTGTCTTTCAAAAAAAGCTGTACTCATTTTCTAACTTTTGTAGAGTAAGAAGACACCAACCTTCCTACTTTCAGTAACATATATTGTTCTAAGCAGCATGTTAAGGGATTCCCGTTAAAATGGGAAGCTTTGTTGTTACCTTTTGTGGCAGAAGGAATAGCGCTGGAGGAGTGATTACAGCTTGCTGGTGAAGTCTTCCCATTAGAGCTCGGCCACATTGCTATAAGGCTTAGGACCCTAAAAGTTAATGTTTGTCTCTTCCCTGGAGTTGGTTTATGCGGATAATGTGGAATTCTGCAGACTACATTTACACGGTATTTAAGTTTTTGTTTGGAGGGGCCAATGTTGGGGTGAACAAAGGCAGAAAACAGAACTCACAGGCACATGTAGACCTGTGCCTCGTTTGTAATGCTAGCGATGTGCAGATTTTTTTATTGTTGCAGCTGTATTTGTGCATGCTTGAGGAGGGAGGCTGTGAGAACATTGCAGCAAGCAAGCTGAAGTGTGAATCTGACCCTTCACTTAGAGTAATGCCTTAGCATATGGCATGTTACCAGCTAGGGGTTTGTTTTGGTTTTTTTTTCTTCCAGTGCAAGGTACAGATACGCAAACAATGAAAGAGCTAAAGCTGTGGCCAGAACATATCATAGCTTACACCTTTTGATTGTTAAACCAGATTGTTAAAAGTTTCAAGAGTGTGACTAGCAGCTATTGCCTTAAAAAAGAATCTCTTCTGTTTTGAGTGCATGCATCTCAAGAGGCTGTTGGTAATCACATTTCAGAATGCATTTTTCTTCCTTCTTCTGGAAAACAGAATCTCTCTTACAACAGTAATAATGAACACCCGATGGTAACTTACCCATGTCATTGCTCATTGTAAAAATATGTGGTGTATAAGCGCTATGGCAAAAACGCAGAAGGTTATGTTTGTCTGTTCACTGTGGGAGTGCCCCTTAATGTCACTGGGGTTTTTCCTTCCTTACCATATAAGGAGAGAAGTCCTGCTCCGTGAAAGAATAACTTGGGCCATATAAGGCTGGTTGGTAAACCCTTACTGAGTTACTGGAGCAGGAAGTAAAAAGTTGAACTTTAGTCACCCTGTGTTTTCCAAGCATTATTGTATGCCCTTATCATGATGAGGAGTCTGACATGATAATAATTAACTTTTAACATTACAAATTTCCCAAGGGTAACATTTATGAAAGGTTATTTTCTTTTTCAAATCAGAATGTTCAACTTCTTACTGTTTAAAGCTAGAAGTCTGAGAATACAGGATTGGAGTACTACTGCTTGATTACATAGTTATATTTGGGTCAATATGGATCTCTAAGGATGAAGTCTCTTCTACTCCTGGTTCTACATGTTCGCTGCCAATACTCATTAACGACCAAATATATATTTGCTTCTCTGCTTGTGTTACATCCAATCATTCTAGCGGGATGTTAAAGGTTGTTTTAATTGTCTGGTGTGTAAGTTATTCTTACTTGTATTATATACAACAAAATTTTAGCTGTGGCCAACTGTATCCAGCTGCCTCTTGTTAGTAAAAGCAACAAATAACAGTTCCTTAAATTTTTAACTAAAGAAAAGGTACCAAACTGATACTTTTGGTATCTCCTTTTGATAGAGGGTGGGTTCCACCCCCTTACCTCCAACTTGACATCATAAGAAATTCAGTTGTGTACTTCCTCATATATAGCAAGAACATTTTCAGTACTAATTAAGGGTAACTGTGATTCTTGGAAATAATTAACTTTTTAGAATAATGACCTTTTTATATATATTTTGTGCTTAATATCCCTTTGAAGGAAATGAAGTTTAATAATGAGATTACTTGGAGAAGGCTGTTGTAGAACTTTGAAACTTAAGCAAGTGTAGGTTTGAGCATGTCAGAAGTAAAAGCTTTTAATAGACAGCTAAGTTGCAAGTGTTATACAGAAGATTAAGTGAACAGGTAATGCAGGAGAAGCGAATCTGGGGCAAGTCTGAGGATGGCGAGATGGGGAAAAACAATAGATGTTTAAAACAATTGTTGCCTCTACCAGGACCCTTATGGTATGTAGCCTCTGCTGGTGCCTTCTTTGTCAGCTCTTGCATAGCTTGCCTGTAAACAAAACTTCTGTGTATTCAGGCATTTCTTAAATGTTCTCATGCTCTCTGTGTCAGCTGTCTCATTGCAAATGCTGATGTAGGTGTATTTTTGCATGTTTATGCTGAACCCTTCTTATAGAACTCAAGGAAATACTGGGACAATTCTTATCAAAGTATGGCAAAAGGTCATAAAGAAAGGATTTGGGATAACGTAGAGGAATTGGGCAATTAGTTTGTGTTGATTTGATTAAAAAAGGGGGGGGACTGTGGTTAATTTCTGCAAATACAATAACAGAAAATATTTGAGGAATGATGCATTTACCTTCTAGTGCAGTTTTCCAGTACAAATTGTACAGTCCTTAATGTGCTTCATTTAAAGGAAGCATTAATTGCTTTTTCCTCCATTAAGCAATAACTTCTCAATTCGGTGAGGGCACATACATCTCTGTGGATGGGCTTTTTAGTGGATGAAGTCAGAAATTACTGAAGTGCTGTTAAATGGCACTAGCAGGTATGTGGGATAACCTTTTACAAGAGGTGATTTGTGCCTTATTATTAATTAAATTCTGTTCTTCCTGTGCTTAGGCTGAGAGCGAAGTAGCTTCTCTGAACAGACGCATCCAGCTGGTTGAGGAAGAGTTGGATCGGGCTCAGGAGCGCTTGGCTACTGCCCTGCAGAAGCTGGAGGAGGCTGAGAAGGCTGCAGATGAGAGTGAAAGGTGGGTGGGGCCACTCTTGAATGGATCGTTACCCTTATGACAAAGATGATAATTGCCAGGGTGTGGGTTAGGGAAATATATTAAACCACTCCTATGTTTCTGAACATGTGTAATCCACTCTTCCTTTGCCTACATGGACTGCAGTTACAGCTTGTCTGTAGGGATGTCCAAAATGTGTAGGCTTGAATTCTTTTTTGTGTCTTAGTTGTAAAGATAAGATTTAAGTGGGGTGGGACTTTTGAGGTATCATGCCGCATCCTGGGAAAACTGCCCAGCCCAGATTTCTCCATTTGGATGACAACTTTTTGAGGGTGATGTATACTCTTGGGTGATTCTTGATTTCATTATGGCTAGAAAAGCTCACCTGGAGAATCGTGAAGTGCTGCAAGAGGCTTTGGTTCTCCTGATGGTGAGATTGGTACATGAAGGTGAGCAAAGGAGAGAAAACATGATAGTCCCTTCAGATTTAGCCTGGGATTTCCAGAAGTACTTAATGTAAGTTAGGAACTCAAGATTTGTGGCTTTGGAAGATCTTCTCTTTTACTTCTACAAATTGTATTTTATATCTGTGATAATACTTTTTATTGGGAAGGAATCTTACATATTCTGCATACGTATTTCTACCTCACTAGCAATGCAGCCTGTTAAAAAGTGCCTGAGGCTCACAGTGCATTGTGAAGGAGTTAAGAGGGTTTGGGGTCAAACACGAATAGAAGGGGCAATACGCAATGTTTCCTGTTATGAAGGAGTTAAATTTTTGCTTATGCGGAGCACAGAGAGCTTCAGTGCTCTAGGGCTCTGACATGGCAAAACTCATGGGAATCTGTTTGGTCCATAAACATAATCCCTGTCAGTCCAGGAATTGTAACCTGCTGTTTCACAATGAGTAAAAGCACAGATGTCTTTAGTCATCTTATTAGGTCTTTAGAAGCATGACCCTTTATTTACTTTCCTATAAGATTGGTTTTCCTTCAGTTTAAAATGAAAAATAATAGTACAGCTGAACTGTGGTAAGAGCTAAAAAAATTATATTTTTTATCTTCCTAAGACATGCTTCTTTCCTTTGAACTTCTGAAGTGTGAATGCACAGGACTAGATCTATGGTATGAAGAATGAAGTACCTGACGTGCTTCATTCACCTTAATACACCCCTCTGAAAGTTGTGCACCAGTAGTCGTAAAGCTGGAGATAAACGGGCAAGCCCTGAACTTTGCATTTCCTGTTTTTCACGACTTTCAGAGGAATGAAGGTCATTGAAAATAGAGCCCAGAAGGATGAGGAGAAGATGGAAATCCAAGAGATCCAGCTTAAAGAAGCTAAGCACATTGCTGAAGAGGCTGACCGCAAGTATGAAGAGGTCGGTTCTTTAGTGCAGGTCATCTGTTTCTAAAGCCCTTTAGGCTGTGCCTGTAATTTATCTTTTTTTTTTTTTTTTTTTTTTTTTTTTTTTTTTTCTTCCTCCCACTCCTGCCTTTAAGTTCAAAGATCGCAAACACCACTCTGCAGCTGTGGAAGGAAAAACAGGCACCCGGATACCTCAGGGGACAAGGTGGCAGGAGATCTATGCTCAGATCTTTGCACTAAAATGGTTGAGAGTATTCCCTGGTCTCTTAGGAAGAAAAATATTTTTAAGTTGCCTTTTAGTGAATGAAAATAAAGGTCTTGAAAAATGTCAGCTAACAGAAACTCAAATGAATAATGAAGATGTCATGTAGTCAAAACTCACACGTTGACCAAAAAATGGAAAGAGGCCCAACTCCCTGCTCTGTAGGTTCTAGAAAGAGGTGGCATGTGCTGCAGCAACATAATATCCCTGATGGTCATTTGCCTTTTCTCGTAGGTGGCTCGTAAGCTCGTGATCATTGAGAGTGACCTGGAGCGGGCTGAGGAACGTGCTGAACTATCAGAAAGGTAAGTGTTGAACTGCCCCAAGATGTGTGCAGGGTGCTACAAGACAACTGTAACAGCATGAAACATTGGCAGTACACTGTGTGTTCAGCTCAAAGCTATGTTTTGCTCATTTACTCTTAATGATTGAAATAAATGGTCAACGCCAAAGTAAATGTGTTCATATGTGTGTGCGCGTGTGTTTTGTCACTGCATGCTGTATCTGCACACTGATTTTGTGAATGGCTTTTGTGCATTTCATGTGTTCACTAACAGCCAAGTCCGACAGCTGGAAGAACAGTTAAGAATAATGGATCAAACCTTGAAAGCATTAATGGCTGCAGAGGATAAGGTACTGATACTAATAAAGAGTTTTTAGGTTTAACTGCAACCCAAGTCTTTCAGCTTCCATAGCTGGTTAGCTCACTCAGTAGTAACAAATAAGTCCTCGCTATGCTCTTGCGCTCTTTGCATCTTGCTTTGGTGGTTTTCTTTGGTCTCTTTTTTTTTTGTTTGTTTGTTTGTTTATTTGCTTATTTATTAATTTTTACCTTTAAAACTGATCTCTTGTGCAGCCAAAAAGAAGCTGAACTGTCTCACGTATAAAGGCTATGTAAATATTTCTGTGTAAGCCAAGGGCTGTAGATAATTTCTGTCTGGTTGTTGTCTTAATGTACAATTGAAATGGAATTTGGCACCATAAAGAGTTGCTTTCAATCTGTGATGGATTCAGCTGCTTTTGAGGCCGTTCTTTTGCTCTGTAATTGTTTTCATTTTTCTCTATCTTTTCCCCCTGTTTTCTCCTGTTTCTTTTGCTTGACTGAATCTTCCATCCGCCCCTTTCCTGCCTTCCTTCCGAAATAACAGCAAATGTGCTGAGCTTGAAGAGGAGTTGAAAACTGTGACCAACAACCTCAAGTCACTGGAGGCTCAGGCTGAGAAGGTAGGCTAGAGACTTATGTGAGAATGTGTCCCTTACGTTGTCATCTGGATTGGCTTGTGGGGTTTTCTTTATATGCTGATCACTTTGCAGCATTTCAGCAAGGCCATTGTCAGTAGAAGTATTTGGACAACCTACTCAATTCATATTTGGCTCTTATTGGAACCCAGCTTTCCTTCTAGTTCCAAATAGGTCAGTATTATTAGACCACATGTTCTGTTAAGTAGTCTGACAGGATTAAATATTATTTATAGACTGTCCCTCAAAATGGCACTTGGGTGCTAACATTAAATTTCTCCAAATGCCGCTCCTCTTTAAAACTGTAGTGCTAATTTCTACTCAAAGTTCCCATCATATAGCTCTGGAATATAACTCGAGGGAAGTTTGGCTCTTGTAATAAACTGTGTATTACCACAGTCTGGTAAGTGGAATAAATTTAGTTAAACCCATAATAATTTCTTGTATACAGTTGATCTGTTGGAAGAGAGTCTCAAATGTGGTGGGTTTTGGTATGTATACCTGGTCTAATATTAGTGATCCTCTTTCTAATTACAGTACTCACAGAAAGAAGACAAATATGAAGAGGAGATTAAAGTCCTGACTGACAAACTGAAGGAGGTAAAATTAGAGCTGTTTTTTACAACAGATCTTTCTTCAATGCAACTTTGATTTTTTTCAATACAAACACTACTTTGCTTTAAGGGTGAACATGTAATTTTGGAGGCAGTGTTAAATGTCTCTCCTAAAAATTAGTATCACCTTATTATTTGCATCCTTTCGTTGAATTGCTCATTTGAATTGCTGCTCCTCTATTTGTAAGTACTAGATGTCTGTTTACTAAAGTAGGTATTTCTCGACTTCAGGCTGAGACCCGTGCTGAATTTGCTGAGAGGTCAGTAACCAAGCTGGAGAAGAGCATTGATGACCTAGAAGGTATGGGATTTTGTTTTTCTCACCTACTATAGAAATACAGACAGTCTTATTCTCTTGTTGGTTCCCCTCCCCCTAGTACCTGATTCTACTCACCTAACTTGTCCTGCTTAGATAAATGGGTCTGCCTAAAGAGTAAAATAGGCAAGATGTTTTCCAACTGAAATGTATTGATAACTTAAATGCTTTAGGTGAACAGTGTTTTGCTCTTGCCTGTTCCTTTTTCTCTCATGTTTTCAAGACTACTTTCATTTTTTTGCTTTATACTCTTCTACCTGGAGGTATATAAATGTAAATGATTAGATAAGTATTATTATTATCTTACTAAAAAGCTGATGAAGAGCTGTGTTATGTTGGTAATAATTAGGAATGTAGCAAGCTAACCTAATGTATTACTGCAATAAGCGTGGGTCAGGGCAGGCATTTTGTGACATAGACCAGTTGCTGTTTTTCTGTAAAGCTAATGGATTGTATACGTGATCAGAGACAGCTTATATAACTTCAGAGAGTTTGTTTTAAGGTTTTGATAAGTCTTTCAGGACTGCAGTTGAATAGTAGACTGTGCTTTCTCCCTCTGGAGAAAATAATTCAGTAGTGCTTTGTAATTAAAAGTTATATGGAGTTTACTATTTAGATGCATTAAACTAAGTCTAGGATCTTAAGAAGCTTGATTGCTTGGCATGGTAGGCTGACTTCTGCATAAAGGAGTATGAAATATCTAGGCAGCTGCTGAAAATTTATGCTCGCTGGCTCAAGAAGGAAGCAGAGAAGAAAGATAAGTGTTTGGAAGGACAAAAATTGCTGTAAGAAACTGAGTTTATGACTTCACACAAACCAGAATGTGGTTGGTTTGTTTGTTTGTTTTAAAAAAAAAAAAAAAAAGTGGTAGAAAACAAATGGTAGCATTCTCCTCGAGCCCCATTTTTGGGTCTTTTCTCCCTAGCTCCTATGTGCCCTCCTAATGTGCACTAAAACAAAAATCCAGGGCAGCAAAACATGGATTGTGCTTCCCTTGTACACTTTCATTCCTTTCTTTTCTCTATATCACAGGTTGCCCCACTGGCAGTGCTGTTAATGAACTTGTCGCATAAAACTATTCACTGTTGAATTTTTTTTTAATTCTTCTCTTAATTTTTGTAATTTTTTTTCTGTTTTGTCTGTCGCAACACCTCTTTCTGTGCACTTTTCCCCTTTTCTACGGCTTCTGGATGGTATCCCATGCCACCACCTTCACCTTCCATCCTGTGATCACACTCCATTTCCTTGCACACCTCTGCCTTCCCTTGGGGGAATGTTAGATGAGCTATATGCTCAGAAACTGAAGTACAAAGCCATCAGTGAGGAGCTGGACCACGCTCTCAACGATATGACTTCCATGTAAATGTCTTCCCAGCTTGTGCCTGCACCTGCTTCCCTGCCCTCCTTGATTGCGCAGTTCCGGCCTTGTGAAATTATACTCCCTCTGTAGTGGGAGATGCATTCCTGTAGCGAGACTAGGTGTACAAAATACCATGAACAATTTCTTTACCGTGGCAGAGTGTGGGTGAGTGATGTGCCTAGCCTGGTAAATACTCATGGTGATTTTGTAAGCTGCCTAATAAGCGTGTGTTTAGTCTTTCATTCTGTATCTGCAATCCCTGTGTTGTGTGGCTGCCCTTTGTTTGTAGCTCTGTGTTTATCCTTTCAGTTCACCTCTGTTCAAGCATTTTCTAGCAGGCACATCGTGTTCAGTTTGCCAAAGAAAAGTGCCTCGGTATGTGTTGCATTCAGAGTGTATTCTTCTGCTGTCGCAGTTTTTCTGTGGCAAAGTTCCTACAGAAGTTTCAAAGAAACTTAGATTTAGCTGTATTCTCTATTAAAGACAGTGGAAAGTGTTTATCTAAATTTCCATAACTGTTCTGAAAATTTCAGCTGTTACCACTGAATTACAAGTGTGGAAATTGATTTAAAATACTTTGTCATTTAAACCCATAAAAGTGATAATTGAATTGTAGGTTGCTTCTGCTTGTTTTGTGAAGGGTAGGACTAATATAATTTGCATATACCAAAAATATGGTAATATCAACTTTAATCATAAGGAGAAAAATAAAGAGTGCATTAGGCAGCAGGAAAGTAGGAGCGATCAATTGTAAGGTGTGACTAGTCCATGCAGTGTTTGATACAAACTGCCTCTTCTTCCATCAACTTAAAACTCTCAACAGAGGTCAGCTATGCTAAATCCACCTTCCCATGCTCATACCTTTCACTTGCATGAACCCTGTACTGTTGACATGGGAAAGAGGAAGAGTTGTGGCTCTTAAGTGCTTGTGAGATGTGATGTTTAGCCCCAGCATTTCTTTCTGGAAGCTAGCATGCTTTCAGCAAGACATAAGCTTTGCTCAGAGCTTGAAATTTATTTTCATGCACCTGTATTTGTATGTTTTTTCTTTGCTCTTTTTCATTCCTATATCTGTTCATTACTTCCCTCTCCCTACTTTTTAGTAGGGATGTAATGTTGTCTGCTTTGTATGCTTCAATTTTCTCCCCACCCCCCAACATATCCTTTTTCTCAGTGGTTTATCAAGCAAATGGATTTCTTTTTTCCTCCTCTGTGTGCAGAGATTACGTATTTCTTCAATTTGAGAGATTTCTAAATGGAAAACAGACTTTAAAATGTACTCTACTGGTACATGAGGACATTACTGTAGCATTCCAGTCCCAGCATGGTGTGGTGTTTCGCTAGTAGTCATCTTGGCATGCTGGGCTCTGCTGTGCTGTTGCTGGTTTTTTTTGGAAGTCTGTACCTTTTTTATTTCCTACCTTATCTCACTTTTTCTTTTCATGCAGATAATTTTCTTTGCTTCACTTCTCCAAAGACCTCTTCATCGGGTTGGATAAAACATCTTTCCAAGCTTTGGATGTTTCATGGGTTCATTGTCCTGTCTTCTAGCTTAGTTGACTCTCTTCCTCTAGCACCTGTCTCCGAACATGCTCTGTTTGTGCTCTGCTGTACAGAAACTCTGCATTTTTCAGTGTAAAATAAACATCCCAGCTGTATCCCTTTTGCTATTCCCTTGCCTTTTATTTATTTAAATAACTAATTGAGTTATTAATAAAAACTGCTTTTTTGCCATTAGGGATTTAATTTTTTTTTTGGTGTTTCCTTTTTTTTTATTTTACAAACACTTTTGCCTGAACATTCACAATGCAAAGCCAGTGTTAGCAGTCTATGAGACGAGAATACTACTCGTGGTATTTTGAGGTCAAAACTGACCAGTTATGACCTTAGTCTTTCTCAAAATCTGATGCAGATAAAATGACAAATAGACACAAGGGAATTTTTTCAGTTGTTATTGTTAGGCCAAAATCTGCAAGGACACTACTTCCTGGGGGTCACTTGGTCGTGGGAGCATGGCTGAGCGAGCAGTTAAGTCCTTGACAACAGATTTTTCACTTTAGAGTCTGAAATTTTCCCTAGCCTGATGCCGAAGTCGTCCTGTCTTTATATACATGTATTTTTTTGTTAACTTAATTATTTGAGACAGATTTAAAGGGGCAATATCAAAAACTTTAAAAGCTTTTTTTCACCCAAAAATAGTCCTTTAGGCATCTTGCAAAAAAATTTTTCCCTCTTTCACACCTTGATTACTTAGAAAAGATGTTGCTTGCTAACTTTTTTTTTTTAATATACTTCTCTTGAGTGGCATGATAGGACTGGAAGTTCAGCCGGGAGATTTCAGTAGCTTTGTGTTCTTGTGCTTAGCTCACACTTGATGAGTTTGAATTGCAGACTCATGAGAAATGTTTCAGAACTGGAGTAGGAAAACTCTCATCGTTACCCTAATAATTAAATGATTCTGCTACAAAGTAGAACATACAGCTTTTTGGGTTTGAATGCCTAAACATTGGCTTTCAGCTGATTTGGCAGTGCCTAATTAAGGATGAAGCATTAAATGTTGACACCTTGCTTTTTTGTACTGTTATTTGCAACTAGATAGTTTATTGCATTATTTTAACTTCATTTTCTTCACAGTGGAAAAACTTATCTTCCAGTTCACATTAAAGTGAATCAGTTTAAACTGGATTGATTTCGTCTTATGTCTGTGACTGTATATACTGCTGAAGTTCTTAAGTCACCACAGCTAAATAAACTCATTGTAGCATAGCTGAGTGTTAGTTTTTAGCTTGTAGAATAATGTAAATGTGGCTGTCTTGTTCAACTTCCAGATTATTCAGCAGTGCAGTCTAGGCTAGATTTCCTTCCCTCACCAAAACCTGTTTTCCAAATAAGGCTTGCAAATGGATGCATTGTCTTCCCCCCGCCATCCTCAGATAACTTCATCTCATCCCAGTTTTTTATACCATGACACATGTCCTAATGTTACTGGCTATGGGGAGAAGCCTAAGTACAGGATATGTATCAGCAGTCCCAGGTAGTCCAGATAATAAAGTTCAATAACTTACTACTCATCAATTGAGATACAGTAAGTGGGTTTATATGCTATGTGTATTGCAACTGGAAAGTAAAACATTTTGTTTCGTAAATGTAAACATTTGTAAAATGACTGAAGCTAGCCTCGTTAACTTCACAAATGCAAGAGTTATGGGGAATGTGGTTAGCTGTCGCTTCTCAGCTGAACCAGAGCAACTTATGCTACAGCAACTCCAACCCCTTAAACTGTTGTGTGTTTATTGTGTCAGCAGTGTTGATTTTCCCCTTAGTTCCTTGCTATACTGTTGCTTCTTAAGAGAAGTAAAAAAAGCAAAATCAAATATAGGAACCTGGTCATTTTTAACACAGTGATTTTGAGCATCTATTTATTTCCTTCAAACACACGTAATCAGCTGTGAGGCTTGTTGACAGGAGTGCAAGCCTGGCTCTGATGTCTCATTTGCCTGGGTGCTTTGCTGTGCTGAGGCTGAGCTTCACTGGGTCTGCACCAGAGCTTGAACTCCCTGCTTGGCCAAAGGTGGCTGCCTACAGAGCCAGCCCTTGGCTCTACCTCTGCGGTAAATAGCAGAGACAGACTAGACAGACTGCCTGTGGGTAATCAAGGGATGACTGTACACTTGGTACATGCTTTCTGTGCTTTACCTGGGGGTTTTAGTCTCTTTGGATGTTGAGGAATACTGTAAATCTCTGCCTCTAATAATCAAAGAGAGGAGTTTCCTGTGATGAAGGTAAACATCAAGTTCTTAGTTCAAATAATGTCATATTTGAAAAACAACTAAATACACTTTGCCAAACAAAGTGAAATTTTAGTTACTCTGAGGTTTTGATGGTTTTTTCCACATATATGTGACGTTATCCTGATAAGACAGACCAGACCCAGTTGTTACCAGTCCCAGATCAGTTCTGAAGTGTGTCCTGGTTTTACTGAGCTGGCAGTTGGAGTTTGGGCTGGGGAGGAGGCTGTTGAGGAGTTGCTGCTCACCACACAAGTATGTCCTACAGACCAGCTCACCCCACAGCTTTGCCACTGCTGTGTCCAGAGCCTGCAGGGGAAGAGGATTTCTGTGGAAGCTGTTAGGAAGCTTGTGGAAAAGAATCAGAAACAGTCATTTCCTGTAGGAGAATAATCTAGGATCAAGAGGTCAGGAGTGCAGTTTGAATCTAGACTGTTGAGAAAACAGGCAATTTGAGAAAACAAGACAGTCAAAAAACATCATGGAACATTCTTTCACTCTGCAGAACTATTCTCACTAAATGCACTGTCACAACATAGCTGTGGCTGTTCTCTTTGACTGTGAATGTGAGCTGTCCTCTCCGTTTGCTGTACTTGAGCAACATGAGTTTTCATACTTCCATTTCATTTTCACCAAACGTTTGGGTTTGTTTTCCAATGAAGTACTACTGGACAATTTAAAGGTATCGAAGTGTGTTGATACGAGTAACAGAAGTATGTTTCACTACGAAAAATACCATGACAGCTGTCAGATTCCCCAGGAAAGGAGTGCAGACTGAGGAAGACTGAGGTAGTTGGCTACTAGAATCTCTTCTGCTGTTACTTACCCTGGTTGTGATGCAGTTGCTTTCCCTCCACTGACAGATGAGGTTCCACCACATCTTAAATAGTTTACAAATTAAAATGGCACTCATAAAACCAATTTTCCACACGTTGTACATAAAGATTAAAGCAGGACTTGGTTCTTCTAGGAATATAGCTGCAGTTCTTCCGTTTCTGTTCCCACTTACCTGTCTCACAGCTGTTCCCCACGACAGGAGTCTTGGCCAGTTCTTCATAGGTTATAATAGCTGTTCCTTGGAGTAGCTATTTAATTACTAGAGTTCTAGAAACAAAGGTAAAATGTTTCTCTGTATGTTACTGAACTGTCTGTGGTGTGACCAGTTTCTTTATTAACTCTTACCTAACTGTTTTCTCTGTCTAATCTGTCTTCATTCTGCCTCTTTTTTCCCTTCTAACCTGCTTGCTGCCTGTACAGACCAACTCTACCAGCAACTTGAGCAAAACAGTCGCCTAACTAATGAACTAAAGCTGGCATTGAATGAGGATTGAACTTTAGTGTGACTCTATTGTTAACTTGCTTAGAAACTGCTTCTTCTAAACTTCCTTAAGAATGAATCAGTAAATGTAGAAATAAGTAAGAAACCTAGAAATTAATTTTTTTCCAGGCTGTTGATTCTGTGGTAAATTAATGGATGAAATTCTCAGTTTCTATTGGAAAAATATGAAAACGCTTCCTCTGGATGAGGCTTTTCATTATCTGTATGCACACCTACTTTGGAGGAGAAGGAAGCTCTTTGGCTATACAATAGCTCCTTTCCTCTGCAGTAGACAGATACAGCATTTAGCTAACAGTATCCAAAAAATAACAGCCTGCCTTGTAGAGAGACACTCAGTTTACCTGACATCATGGATTGGCCCCGAGATTTTGATTAGGGAAAAATGTTCACCAGGGTTCATATTTCCGTATTTCAAAACCAACATAAAGGATACTTACAGCTGTTTTGTCATCTGGAGACTTCAATGCATTAATTTTGCATTGCTATGAATTGGGCTTGTACTTGACTTACAACACAAACAAAAAAACCCAAACAAAAAACAATTTAAAAAAAAAAAAAAAGTTAGGGCTGGGAGCTCCATCTGAAAATACCTGTTCAGTTTAAAGGTATGCTTGCATTGGTATGAAGTTACTATTACTGAATTCTGGTAGGATGCGGCTCTAGAACATTGTGCTCATTTATTGTATCAAATAAGTGTGTTAAATGACTGTGCTATAAAAGTGTGCATGCAACATAATGCTACTGACTTCGATTTTATTTATTTTCTAGAAGAAATACATTTCTTAAAAGTCCCTTAAATGAAGAAGAGATTGATTGCAATTTTTTTGTTCTTTGCAAGTTCTGAATTACACAAAACTCAAAAGTATGGATCTGCAAAGAACTTATTTCCTTTGCCCTACTTAAAAAAAAGGCCATTCACCATCCCACATTCCTATAAGCAAAGAGTTTCCAGAATGTGCAAGAATTGTGTCTCTGCTGGCAGTGCATTTTCTTAAAAAATGCAGCTGTAAACAGTTCTAAACTTGCATTACATGCTGTTTGTTTTATTAATTTGGAATTCTCTCTAGTTGTGTTTGGGGACGTCGGTATTTATGAGCATGCACATTCCCTAACTTTCTAAACACTCCAATAGAAATTGTAATTGCATGCCTTCATGTTCTGAGAATCAGTGCCTCCAAAGAACTGCTATTCATGTTTTAATTTTCTAATCCCACAACAGAGAAAGTGGCGCATGCCAAAGAAGAAAACCTTAGTATGCATCAGATGCTGGATCAAACTTTACTGGAGTTAAACAACATGTGAAAACCTTCTTAGCAGCAACCACATTATTTGTTTTATTATTTTTACACCTGCTTGCCGTGAAACCCCATAAACGTGTCTTTATTTTAGTTTCACCACATTCACAAGAACATCTGCTAAATTATCAGGCAGGGGTCAGGGAAACACCAAAATGGGCAAGCCATGTGCTGGTTAAGCTATATTACATTATGGTTTATATGTGCCATTTCCCAAGAAAAATGTTACCTACACTTTGTAGAGAGTTCAGCAATTCAGTGTGCTTAGTCTTTTGAAGAGTCCTGGCTGTGGCAGAAAGTGTCCCATCTCAAGTGCCAACTATAATTTTTGACAAGAAGAATGTTTCATGTTCAAGAGACATCAGGTGGAAACGGTGCTATTTTGAACAAAAGGTTCTATTGAAGTCTTTTGTTTGATATCAGACAAGTCAGGAATTGTCTAGCACAGTAATTTATTTTTATCAGAATTTTATTGATCTGTGAAGATTTGGACTTTCTGTGCCTTCCAATTCAATAAAACGAAGGTATGTAAAGCAACAGAGAACAGTGAAGGCTTCTAGAGGTTTTAAACTGTGTTGCTGCAACTCAATACAGAAGTGTAGGTCAGCATTTCACCTTGAGTATTCATTCGATTGTATTTTTCATGTTGAAATGAAAGATTCAATAAATTCAGGAGAAAACATAAATTTGGAAGAGATTGTTTTAAAATGTATTTTATTTGTGTGGATTTAGGGGAGGGGAGGAATTTATAAACCGATATTCGCCTCACTTTTTTCACACTTTCTTTGAGCAGTTTTAAAAGTATACCTGTATGTAAACATTGTATAATGATATGGAATAAAATGCACATTTTAGGACATTTTTTAAATTTTGGTCTCCTGTGATTTGTTTTTCATCACATTAGCTTTCTGTGTGTCGCTGTGTGAAATATGCACATGTGCAGTGTCTCTTGTTGGGATACATTGTTAACGCATTGGCTTTCAGTCTCTTCTGTGCTGGTAGGCTAATGTATAAAAATGCAGGGGTTTGAACTGATTTGGATCTGCAGCTGCTAAGAGGCGCCTTTGATGACCGTATTGCAGGAACCTCGGTTGTATTCCCAGATGGGTGCACAATGCAACTATACCCTAATGGATGCTAGAGCTTTGCAAAATTACTCATTGTGGACTAAAACTGTTTTCAGTAAGATAATTGCAGAACTCCCATAGACTTCTGTAGGAAATGAACCCTAAACCCCATGCTCTTGGAACCACTACCATGTATTTGTATATCTTGCCTGCTAATACATGTTCATTTACTTTGATACAGTGATAAACCTTCCAAAATTATGTGTCAAATGCATGAGATCCTTTCACCCAACTGTTCACTAGTGGTTGATAACTTCTACGTGTGTAGGTGTCTTTATTTGAATCACGAGGTCTGTCAATGAGCAACTTTAGAACTTAAAAAATAATTCTTATTCCTTCTTTTTCTATAGTATATTCATGAAAGTTGATGCTGTCCATCCTAGCAGCAAAGAGCTCAGTAGGAGACAGGCATAGGTAACCTTCCAGATCATCAGAGAATCTCCATTAGTGGACCCTTAGCAAGCAACTGAAAGCAAGTGACTTTCTCAGCAGCTGGTGTAGTGGTGAAAGGGTAAAGTAATACATAATAATTCCAGGTTAAATGGGAGTTGGAGAGGGAAGATGTACTGGTGTTGAGTCTCTGGCCTTGTTTGATTGTTTTTTTTAAAGGGAAGAATTTAGTAACATTACAAGCTTTTGCATGCTTCATTGGCTGCTGCCAAGTCATTCTGAATGCAAAGGATGAGATCCCTGGCTTCACATTTCCCTTTAAGTGCTTTTGGGAAGCAAAAGATACGTTACAATGATCCTACAGTGCCTTAAACTTGTACTGGAGGCTGACTAAAGCTCTAAATAGCAGTTGTGCAGAGGTAAGTTATTCTTTTTCTCCTTCCTTAGCACAGGGATGAAAAGTCAGGTAGTTGGGCTCCAGGACGTCAAGACTCCATGCGCTTGTGGCTTTGAGTGGTGCTGCTGGAGCTAGTAGGGCTGCTTCCAGTAAGAAGTGCTGTGCTGGAGAGTAGTTTGTAGGGTAGGGCCCAGGGCCACCCAGAGAGTCAGAGGCTGTGCTGGGAGCTGAACAGAGGAGTTCCTAGCACTTGGCTATGAGTCTTACACAACTGAGTGTGCTTCCTGCTCCACTGGATGGCTTTTATGGTCCCATGGTCTGCGCTTGGGTCCTAAACAATGTGTCTGAGTGAGGTCAGACCCTTTGCTGCTTAAAATTGCTTGCTTTCCAGGAGACCATAAACTGCTTTGTGGCTTGGGGAACCTGAATTCCCCTCTTAGTGTGTGTAAGGGTAAGGAGGAGGCTGTGGTTTTAATGTCTCTTAATGAGATCATGTCACCATTAATAGGGCAAGCATGTGCAAGCAAGGAGGTAAGAATTAATCTGAAAAAAATCTGTAAAATAAACTTCCCCAAAGTGCACTGTTGCTGATGAATCTGTAAAGCTTCTTAATAGGTAAGTAAAAGCTTTCCAGTTCCAAGGAGAGCTGAAGGGAGCAGTGAACATAATGGTGAATCACACCAAGTGGCTTCTTTTGCTGGCTAGCAACAGACACGTAAATAAGACATATAAATGTATTTGCTGGAGCAGGAAAATCTTTTTCTACTGTATATCAGAAGCCACTACCCATTATGGATTTTCTGCATACAGTGCCTAATCAGACAAAACTCAGGGAAGCTAGAAAGCATTGGCTTGTAAAAATAAATAACTGAGCTCTGACTTAACAGCATTCCAAATAAATGGGAATTTCTCCCTTTCGCAGCTATTTTGCCCAAAACGTTAATGCTAAAAATTTGTTAAATTAAAGAACCTGCATCATTCAGCATTGCTTAAGATGCATGTCTTCATTTGGAGAGCTACTCACCCTTTTCTTCAATGCAAAAACACATTTGGAAGTTTGAAATATACCATTATTGTGCAGCTATGCTTCGTAATTGTCGTGGTTGTTTTGTGAGTTCTCTCTCAGTGAAATGAGTAGTTCTGAGAACACCAGAACTGGTGAAACCTGCCTTCTTGCAGATTCATGTCTCATGGTTGGTTGTAAGTTTGCAATGAATATTTTTCCAGATGCTGAGACATTTGTGTCGTCTCTTGCTCCCTCATGGGATTTCTCTGATGTCTAGTAGCGTGCAAGGTGTGCCAACTTCACTATACTGTTAATATTGTAGGAATATCTGTTACACTGGGCTGTCTATGACTGCTGTAATGTCTGTTAGAGGCAGCAAAAGAAGAAAGTGATTAGCCAGCTAAAAGATCTAAGAACAAGGAGGGGTGGAAGTACTTTTTACATGGCTCAGCACTTGGGGAAAATAGCGTATTTTTTCCTCAGGTGTTAATTTTCATGTTTTTTTTTTAATTTCTGAGTTTTTTAATAATAAAACAGGAGCATCAGTGAAAGATTAAGTGGGAATTGCAGTAAAAAGGTCAAGGCAGTAGAGAAAATAAGGATGATGCTTTTTATCTTCATGGAGGTTTTTTTTTTAAATGCACACAGGAATAGTTCCTTTAACAGAGGGAAGCTCTGTAACTTCCTTCAGTGTGTGTTGTATTCTTTCCAAGGTATGGAAAATCTGTACAAGTTTTGCATAATCTTCTTGGCTTCAGTTACGAACCTGTCCAGTTTTCTGTAAGTCATAGCTTCACCAGTTCGTAAGCTGTTGCTGAGAATTGCATAAATGCAGGATACCCCTTGCAATGACAGCAGCTTAGTAAGCAATCTAGATATCCCAGTTAGTTAATTTATATGAGAACAGAAACAGATAGAAGTCTTACAGACACGTAAAAAACTACTCCCCATTTGTTATTTCTTGACTCATAATGCACTGAAATGAAAGGACATTACATAGTATTTTGGATTTTAATATTATGGCTGTCAGGGCCCTCTCAGCACTGCTTTCTTCCTATATCTTTGCTGGTTTGAGGAATGGCTGGATAAACATTAAACAGCATCTTTTTTCATTAAAAAAATAGAACCAACACAGAAAGAAAAAAGTCCTGCAGACCTAGCTGCAGCTACCACATGTCATAACATGCTGGCATGCATCGTTGTAGGAACATTTCTCTCATTTGTGTACAGCAAGCACATATGGATCATAGAATCATTTAGGTTGGAAAAGACCTTTAAAATCATGGGTATAAAGGGATGAAATATATTTGGGGCCATGATCCTGCAAAGTATTTTGATTGTCTTCTGTTCCAGGGTCTGACCATGATCTGCTTCTCATGATTATTCCTTTCATCGATGATGTTCTCATTTTTTGCCCTGAGATGCAAACAGAAATGTCAAGGAAGTGTCCATGTGATTCGTCTCAGCCAAAGCTCATAGCAAACAGTGTTTCTTTGGATAAAACATGCAAAGGTCTAACACCTAGTGATAGTTGTCCATGCCACTGAGGAAAATTATGCAGGTCTGGTGTCTCTGTGGTAGAATTTGTGAAAGAATAATCAGGAAGGTGCAACTGCAAAGCTCTGGTAAGTTGTTTTAACTTGCGTAGGAGACATTGGCATTGATATTAACATGGAGATCTGTGTGAGTTTCCAGTTTAAAAATAGGGCTTTTCCTTGCAGGTCCACCAATAGCTTGCATGTTTCTCTCGACATGAATACTAGATGGAGAAATAGCCTGGGAAAATATTCAAAATCTTTCCTCATTTGTGGTTTTCTGTAGCCAGCAAGGAGGAGCCTGCCAGACTTCTTTCCACTTAATCTGAATTGCTGTACTACTTCCTTAACAAATAAGGACACACATACTGTACACACATAGACTATAAAATAGGTTAAAGGGATGGTGTAATTTGTTCAGGCTGTCCAGAAAAAAAAAAAAAAGTATCTGGAAGAAGAACTAGGCAAGAAAGCAGCTAAAAGGGAAATGGTGATAGAATCGTGCTCAGGGGCTAACGGCCAGTCAGGAGGGTATAGACAGCATGAAGGTGATCTACCGAAGAATTAATCCTCCCCCTCTAAATTATATCTTGTCCTGCTCCTGTAGCCTCCACTTGTGTTTCTGCAGCCACTGCATTCCTCTGCCACAGAGGAAGGTGGCTGGCAAAGTCCAGGTAGCAGCAAATTCTTTGTCACCCGTCATCTGGGTTTAAAGTACAATATGCAGGAGCTTTTCCCATAAAAATCAATAAAAATCCTTTCTCTCAGTGGTTCTTGTCATGTGGGCAGAATCTGGGTTAAATCTCTCTATGCTAGGACTTTAATCAATTACCTTAACCATGAAATAATGACACTTAAAAAAAAAAAAAGACAAAACTACTTTTTTTTTTTCTGGTTTTCTGCAGTTAGCAAACATGCAGCAAATCTGTGTGTGCTTTTATTGCATTCACACGCAACCATGTCTGAGGCAAGGCATTTCCTGGAGATTAACAACTGGGTGGGAAGGATTGTGGATCCAAGAGGCAGCCCAAGGGACCCAAACTGGTGGTTAATCCATGGGAGGCGCTCTGTGCTGAGACTTACTGCCATAAACTGAAATAAAAACCACACGGACCTATATGTTTCTGTGGAGGAGAAGCAGGGATTATTGCCATTTTGAGCAATTACATTATTGACTCCTCCGTTTCCCCATCAGTGTATGTGCTGCTAGCATTAGGAATACTACAGCTAGCAAAAGAACTGATGGGAAGGGTTTACTCTGGATCCATTATTCTTGTGAATCGTTTGCTGTTAAGAGTTTGGATTTAATTAAGGAAAATCAACAAAATCCAAGTTTAAATTGAGTGCAGATTGTATAGCTGTTTGTGTCATTTTAGCTAAGTTGTTTTAAAGGT